AAAAAAAAAAAAAAAAAAAAGAACATACAGTCGAATTGAGAACCTCCTCCTTTTTTGAAGTCGGGTAAAAATACTTTCTATTTATTTAGTTATGTTTTAACTTAAATGAGCGTCCAGGGCGAGCGCGCGAGCGAGCGGCGAGCGATTATATTGGCGCGATTGTATTATTCAAAGGAATTTAAATATTGTTTTTGTAAACAATAATAAATAGTGTATTTAGACATCAAACCATATGACAAAAATTATAATCACCGGGATTGTAAGTATGACAGCACCAATATCATAATGTCGTTGGAGACAGTGCAATTACGCTTAACGCAAACCTAGATGTTGGGAGGTGAGTTGTCAAGGCTGCACGCGCGAAAAAGCTCTTGAGTGTGGAGGTGTGTCGCCGTTACAGCTCTGAGTGGCACTGTAACTGTTATGAATAGGCGTGTCGCTTACCATCAGGCGCACGATTTGTTCGTCCCCTCACTTGGTATTATAAAAAAAGCTGAATAAACGGAACACTGACTTTCTAACACAGGTTAGCCGATAGTCCATTTATTTAGGTACTTAACTAAATGTAAACAAACTTGAGATGTATGTTTAACAAAATGTACAATTATAAAATTTTTACTTACCATGATTTGATTTGTAACTTATATGCTTCAATAAAAAGATGTATCAAAATTGTTTACATTTAGTTAAGTGCCTAAACAAATGGACTAGGTACCTATAGGTTGAAAGACTGGGGACAGATAACCTAACAAGCCTCACATTGTACCTAAACTAATGTAGTAATACCACATGACACGTAACTCCACTTTAAAGTTAAAAATAAAATATTATATGAATAACTACACGATATATTCAAGCATAGACAAACATAAAACAATAAAGTTTCCTCGATAGATAAAAATCACGAAATGACCTCTAATTTTCACATTTTTTCGATTTATCCTCGAAATGCTACAGGTTATTAGGACAAAAATTAGATAATTAATTATATTTATGCATGATCGACAACTGTCACTACGGATTTTTTTAAATTCCTTTAGTTTTAGAGTTATTCCGCTAAAACGAATTTGGTACTTTTAATGCGCAAAATTCAACATCTCCTGTCGCATGTCACGCGAACTTCAGGCATATATTTGTTTCACAAATTTGAGCGGAGACAACGTCAAAACTTTTTTGGCATGAGAGCTCTTAAGGTACACTATAAATCATCCTCTTCTCGGCGGTGACATTAGCTGAGTGGAGCCATTTACATACGCCACAGCCACACATCTACTTTAGCCGGTTCACGAGTTTTTCACATGCGTTTTTCGCTTGTTTGCGTTGGCTGCGTACACGGTGTAGAAATCTGCCTTCCGCGTAAAGGCATTCACGAGTTTTCCGCTTTGCGGAGAGACGAACCAGCTGCTGCTCTGCGATTGGTCCGTGGTGCTGTCCTCCGCAAACGTTCCTTGTTGCTTGCGTGGAAATATCAAGCATGCTAGATATCAAACACACGCGACGCAAAGAAATCCCAAAGCAAGCGGCCGGCGGCGCAAGCGAGCGACTCGTGAACCTACCTGCGCGTACGCGGCAGATCTTTGCGTATGCGCGAAGCGAGTCACGCAAGCAAGCGAAAAACGCAAGTCACGACGTAAACGACCTGCATGGCAGTCCACCGCGCAGGCAGTGCTCACACACTATCCTGCATATGGTCCACGTATGGAGTCTCGCAGGACGCATTGCAGGATAGCTTGCACACTACGACTACACTTATAATCCTGCATTACGCGGCGTACGGCAAGGCGTACCTACTGCAATGCAGGATAATGAGTTTAGTTGTGTAATTTGACTATTTAATGCTAAGTTGTCATCACCGATTATTATGATTTTATTTTTATTTCATTACTTACATTTGTTTTGTTATTCTATTTTATTTTTCTCTTAATTTAGCTTTATCTTTTTTTTGTATATCTTACTTCTTCTTTTTATTGTGTGGCGTTGTAATAAATGGTTTATATTCTATTCTAAATCTCGCAGACAAAGTTCAAACACAGCCCACCAAATTGCCCTTATTATAATTATTTAGTTATAATTTACTAGCACCAATTTAATTCACCAGCACCATTACCCTTCTAAATGGGAACACAGACAGAAATAGATAAGGTGGCAGTACTCCTTTTGATGAACTCATTCACAAGGAGGTCTATGTACTACAGTAAACTAATTTTCAGTTTTATTGATTTATACAAATTTATTTATGTGAAAAAAGTAATTTATGTCCTTCTCCTAGGTCACATCTACCTTTATTTAAAAATTCTTCAAAATTGGGTCAGTGGTTTAGGCGTGAAAACAGACTTGCTTTTGCATTTGTAATATTAGTTTGTAATAAATCTTTTCTCTTTTTAATTAAATGGACTTGAACTTGACCACTACCTAGCTCTGGAGTAAAGATAGGATCTACGATGGAACGAGCTCGCCCAGAAGATGCCTATACAGTCGCACCTTAAAGAATAAAGGTTGTATGAATTCGGAAACACAGTAGCAGGCAGGAAATTCTATTCCTGGGCTGTGCGCATAATAAAAGATAATGAAAAGCGCTTAGTACGCCTGAAGGGAATATCGACCAAGTAACGATGATATCCGGGCGTACGTCTGGATGTCCGATGGTAAAAGACGGAAGACGGGTGAGCTGATACAGCGGAGCTCATGGTCACACTCACCGAAATATATTCTGTAGATAACCGACAGATAGGTAACTTCGCGTCAGTGGGCTAAACTATGAAGTTTAGATTCGAGCATATCGTTGCCAATAAATGTCCTGGGTCTGAGTTTAATCGAATCTAGAGCCTTTTCTGCCCGCCCGCCATAAAGGTGGTTATCCACACGCGAGGCGAGACGAGATGAGAATTGAAATCTCGATAAAAAATATCGATAAGAGTATTAGTTTGTTTTTTGTTGTAAGCTTATGTTGTTTGAAGGTAGGTACCATAGTGTGAATGGAGCTTAACGTTATGTATCCGCGTTCGGGGGATTCTGATGAACTACTAAGTCCACGAGGATCCCCTGGGGGATTTGGCTAGGGGATCCTGGTGGACGAAACGTAAGTAGCAATGTCTCCTACCAGCTTTGATTAAGCGTGGCCGATATTCAAAAACTGTCTTCACAAACTGTTTCTGTAGCCCACCAGTAGAATCTATATAGGTTTATTTATACAGTATAGTAGTTTTTACCTGTCACAGATAAGTGTGTTTTCTTCATATCGGTATTTCGTGAAAATAATCAAACTTTATTTGTAATATGTTGTGCAAGCTGTAATAAACAAAACAGATCCAGGTTTTTTTTGTTACGGTAAAATAAATAAAAAACTAACAGCTATTGTTGACATTGTGACATATTTTTTGACAAATTGACAATTTTGTAATGTGACAAAAAAATGACAGCGAGCTGGCGAAAAGTTTGTCTTGCTAAAAAGGTTTTACTTTTTCGTTTTATAGCCAATATGTTACAGCAGCAGTAGAGCTTTTTTAAATAGAAAACCACCGTGAGACTCGGACATGTTAAG